TGTCCCCATCTCCATCTCCTCTGTCGCCTCATCTCTATCACCTCTGTCCCACCATCTTCTCATTTGCTCCCCACACTTCTCCCCCTAGCACAGTGAGCTTCATCTCCGACCCCATAACCTCCAACAACCCCATCAAGTCTTTACCTCTATGAGGGACAGGGTCTTGAGCTCTGAAACCTCAAAGTCTCTATCAACCCCAACTGGCCTGCAGTCTGCCCAGACCTCCTTCTGCCCCAGCGAGGACAGTCCGGGAATTCTTGCAGCCCACAGTCTCCTCTCCCACCCTCATAACCCTCTCTCCCAATGGCCAGGATGGCTCCAGATCAACCAAGGAGGATAAGGACAAAGAGCAATCTCCCAGGCTGGCCCAGCAGGGCTCCCTGCCACCAGCTGCCCGGCTCCCAGCCCCTCTGGCTGACCACAGTAAGGAACGGATCTCCTCAACCATCCCTGCCTCCTCTCTGGCCTCCTCCAGGACCTTGACCTAGGGATCGAGAGACCCAGGATGAGGTGGTGCCTGACAGCTGCCCCTCCTTCCCTAGGGTACCAGGCGCAGGACCCTACACGCCACTGGAGCCCCTTGCCCTCTGAGGACTTCGGCAACCCTGGTAAGGAATTTCAAGGCCCTCCCCTCTGATTAGTGTGCAGAACTGGGGAGAGCCAGGGGTCGGGGCCAGCTAGCCTTTGTCTTTCCCCCAAAGCACCCAGCCCCAATAACAAAAGCTAACATTCATTGAGGGCTTGGTTTATGCCAGGCATCTTTCGAAGCTTTCCCCGCAGCCTGGTGAGATAGATACTGCCATCATGCCCACTTTACAGAGACAGAAACCCAAGGCCGAGGTTAAGAACCTGGCCCCAAATCACACAGTTAGTAGCCCTGGGAAAGTTACTAGCGGGTCACAGCTCCTAAGTGGCAGTGAGACATCAGAATCCAAGGGCCTGACTGCAGAGCCCCCAACCCTAACTGCTGAGCATCGTTCTGGCCCCTCACATGGAGCCTACTGTGTTGTTGTTGTTGTTTCTATCAGCATTAAAATATTTGCTGGGCAGGAGCTCCTAGAATCCCAGAGGTTAGGACTGGAAGGGCCCTAGTGCCACGCCCCAATTGTACAGATGGCCCCAGATCCTATCCTTTTGACCATGGAGCTCAACTACCAGTTCATTTATAGTGGAAGCTACTGCCATTTACTACTACTAGAGTTATTATTTCTCCGGAGGGAGCACCCCAAATTCCCGAGGTGGGGGCAGGCAGGACCTGGGGCTGGGGGGTGGTCAGTGCTGGGGCCGCTAACACCCCGCAGATTGCTAGCTGCACGTGCGGCTGTTCTACGGCGCGAAGCTGGTGCGTGAAGCCACCGCGCGCACGGCCGGGGCTGCCGCCTGAGT